CTCGATCAAACCCTACCAGGCATCCTATGCCCTCCTTGCCACTAATTTTGGATCACTTGTTGCTCCCTTGTCCCTGGGTTGGTCAACACCACCTTCCTTTCCCCGCCTCTCCCTCTCCCATGTCCCCCCCAACCCCCGGAACTGTTGGTTCTGTTGTTTTCTCCTCCAGATTGTTTATCCCGCCTATCTTATCTAGATAGACCTGCAGAGAAAATAATATGCACAAAAAAGAAGACAGAGCAAAACAAAGCAACAAAAGGAAACAAAACAACAACAAAAACAAACGACAAAAAAGAGAAAAGTCTGTAAATAGTTCAAGGTCTGTTTGTTGACCTTTAGGAGAGTTTTCCAGTCGAATCTGATGTATGGCAGGGCCCAGACCAAATCCAGGGATACATATGGTAGCCAACTAAAAAGGAGGAGGGAGGAAAAGAAAAAAAAAGAGACATGAGTAGTGGGGGAACAGGGCACTAACCCACCCCAGGGGAGGGTGTTGTTTATATATCCACAGGTAAAGAGGGACCAGACCAAGATGTGGTCCCGCCAAGATGCGAATACAACATACCGGCATGAAGCTGGGAACCAGTAGAGAGGTCTGAGGGGCTGGCCCCAATCCCAACTACGTGGACAGCTCCTCCTTCCCCCAGAAGAATTTACTTGAGAGGACAACACTGAAGCTACAGCTCAGGGAGACTGACATGTCTGATCAGAGCACACAGGAGCAAATGAAGGGGAGGAAGAGCGAGTGGAGCACATCCTGGCCCACCACGCCTTGAGGACAATATCCCTGCTCAGAGCAGCCAAAGTACAGAGAAGACCATATGGCTGGCCCCACTATGAGACACAATGTCCTTCGTTGACCCATAACCCTACAGGGGACAACACTGGAGACAGTGCGGGAATTGCACCCTATTTGACCCCACCACACAGAGGCAAAACACTAAGGGTGTGCAACAGAACAGCAAGGGGAGCAGAGCAAGGAAGTCTTGAAGGAATACCAAAAGTAAACTTTGGGGCCAGTGTGTGGCACCCCATCAGAGTCCTCCCGCCTTTCATTTAGCACCCTAATGCATTAACCATTTGCACCACTTAGGGACTCCTGAGGACAGTTATTTGTGCTTTATTCACCACCTGACTGGGTAGGTTTCTTGAGGGAAAGAAATTTGACTTACTCATCAGATTAGGGGTTCGGGCTCTTCAAACTCAATGATTAAGTCTACAAGCCTCTGCTCTCCACCGCACCATCTATTAGGACTGGATGGCTTGAGCTCTTCCCTGTTTTTGATAACAGGACAAGCCTTATGTCTAGTAGTCTTCTGTTTGAAAGCTGCTCAGTATAAGGTTGACATATAATGTTTTTTGGATTGGATTGTGCCTACACCCCGCCTCTGCCCCCCCAATATAGTGTCTTTTTTTATAAGAAACTTTAGATCTTGAGTGAGCCAATTTCAATAGTATTTGTCATCATTTTAAAGTGTTATTTGTATACAACTACTGTGGACAGCGATCTGGTGCTACCTAACACAAATGGGATGTAACATGCGACTCAGCAATACCTTTGCTTAGCAAAGAAGTAAGAGACTGAACAAGAAGAGATGTACACTCATTGCAGCGCAGTTCACGATAGCAAGAAGCTGGAAGCAGCCCAAACGCCCACCAGTAGAAGAATGGATAAAGGAACCCTGGTACATGTGCACCACGGAATATCATGCATCCCTGAAAACAGTGATGGAACTAGGAAACACTTCATTGTATGGATGGACCTAGAAACCATTATCCTGAGTGAAGTGAGCCAATCACAAAAGGACAAAGATTGTATGAGTCCACTACTCTAAGGATGAACACCAAGGCAGATGTCAGCTCTCAGGTCACATAGTCTTCTAACCCAGTCTCCCAAGCAATGAGATAGAGAGCCTATATGTACATCTTACAAGCCACTTTGACAGAGGAGACCTCCCCTCAGCTGGGGTCAATTGGAATACCGCATCACCATTCACACCTGCTTCTGGGATGGTTTTAGTGATCTAGTGCTGTAATGGAAATACCACAGGTGAGTGGCCTGAACAAGCAGGAATGTATTCTCCGGTGATTTGTGGCGGCAGCTTTGTAGAAAGTTTAGTAAGGGTGAAGTATAGTTTGCGGTGATGAAATATGTAAGAAGTCAGACGCACAAGACCTTGGCCGCTCTTTAGATGTGGGGTGTGAGCAGGGAACTACACTGATGAAACTCAGAGAACCCCTTCTCCCTTTTCCTACATTCTTTGCCTGCCCAGGAGGTGGAAGAAACGTTCACCCAAATTTCCTCTGTCCACGTCTGAAGCCTTTCTTGCAACCCTCTCTCAGCTTCCTCCAAGGAGGAAGCAAAGTTCTTTCAGTGGCCCGTGCCGGTGTTTGAGGAGTACCTGACAGTGTGTGTTGGGGTGGGGTGGGGGGTGAGGGTGGGGGTATGTGCTGCTGCAGTAATGCGTGGCTGCTGCTTGTCCTCCTCTGCTTGCCCAGTGCTCTTACTACTTGGTCCCAAGGGAGCCACCCTATGACAGTCCACGTCACACCCACGTGGCTCCAGCTTCTTACTCATGCTCCGGCTGGGAAGGCACTTTCCTGGACTGCTCTACAGATCAGGCCATGCCTTACTTTCCTCTCAGGGCAGTGGGTGGCCCTGAAGTCTGCACCCAGTGTGAGAAATGACCTTTCAATCAACCCACTGGGGTGGGGCATGCTAATTTTCAAAGTTTACCAAACTACAGGCTGTCACTCAGACCAAGGACTAGGCATGGGAGTAGGCTTACCCCTGACAGATTTCACTGGAAAGTGGATGACTGTAGGCATAATGAGGTTAAAATTTAACATATTATCCTATGTTCTCCCCCTTGGCTTACTTTTAAATTTGTTCTAGATACTACTATATTCTGCTTTCACTTCGATTAATGTTTTTATGTATTCTATTATGCTATTGTTATTGTTGGCACTTGGGTTATGATTTTATATATATGAAATCCAGGACAAGTAAATCTACAGACAGTAACTAGATTAATTGTTCTTTAGGCTTCTGGCAGGGGAAGTTGGGGGTGGAGAGATGGGGGATCTAATAGTAATAGGTATAAGTATGAAGAAGATGTTCTGAAATTGATTGTGTTAATGACTGAACAACACTTTTTAATATAGTTAAACCATTGAATTGTAAAGTATGTGAGTTATATGTCAATCAAACTATATGTATGTACTCTCCAGTTGGGTTCACATGGAAAAACCATATCTGCTTGTGTGATTCAAGGATCATAAATAATGAAATCCAAGAGCAGAGGAGGGAGTTTTCATAGAGCTTAAGTTATGAGCACCTGGTCTGCAGACAGTGATGGAAGCCAGTGACAGCTCACAATCCGTTTGCAGAGACTCCCCAGGGAGTGAGCGCCCACTGAATTCCCCTGGACCATTGACCAAGGATGTGCAAGCTTTGCCCTCAGACAGAGAATATTAGAAAGTGAATTAATACAGATACAGTTAAGTTAAAATTGAACATCTGTTTTTGCCTTTGACCCATTTTTAATTTGTTCTGGTATTTATTATTTGCTACTTTCTTTTAAATTGAGGTTTCTCTATGTTTTATCTTGTGGTGGCTGAGGTCTTTTTGGTAAGATTTTCTTTATGTGAAATCCAGGACAATTAAGTCTATAGAGATAGTAACTAGGTTAATAGTTTCTTAGGGTTTTGGCAGGGAAGATGGGGTGGGATGAGGAGAAGAGGAGTTAATAACAATGAGTAGAAAAGTGAAGAAAATGTTCTACAATTCATGTGGTAATAATTGCACAACTCTTTTAAAAATTAACAGTATGTTGACACATAACTCACATTTCATATAGCTTGGTCATTTAAAAAATCATTTTATTGGGGGCTCATAAAACTCTTATCACAATCCATACATCCATCCATTGTGTAAAGCACATGTGTACATTCATTGCCCTCATCATTGTCGAAACATTTGCTCTCCACTTATCCCCTTGGTATCAACCCCTCATTTTCCCCCTCCCTCCCCACTCTAACCTTCCTCCTGAACCCTTGATAATTTATAAATTATTATTATTTTGTCATGTCTTACACTATCTGATGTCTCCCTTCACCCACTTTTCTGTTGTCCATCCCCCAGGGAGGGGGTTATATGTAGATCCTTGTAATCGGTTCCTACTTTCCACCCCACCTCCCTCTACCCTCCAGGCATCGCCACTCTCACCATTGGTCCTGAAAGGGATCATCCGCCCTGGATTCCCTGTGTCTCCAGTTCCTATCTGTACCAGTGTACATCCTCTGGTCTAGCCAGATTTGTAAGGTAGAATTGGGATCATGATAGTAGGGGCGGGGGGTGGGGCAGCATTTAGGAACTAGAGGAAAACTGTATGTTTCATTGTTGCCACACTGCACCCTTACTGGCTCATCTCCTCCCAGCGACCCTTCTGTAAGGGGATGTCCAGTTGCCTACAGATGGACTTTGGGTCTCCACTCCACACTCCCCCTCATTAACAATTATTTCATTTTTTGTTCTTTGATGCCTGACCTGATCGCTTTGACACCTTGTGATCACACATGCTGGTGTGCTTCTTTCATGTGGGCTTTGTTGCTTCTGAGTTAATGGCTGCTTGTTTACCTTTAAGACCTCAGATGCTGTATCTTTTGATAGCCAGGCACCATCAACTTTCTTCACCACATTTGCTTATGCACCCATTTGTCTTCAGCAATCGTGTTGGGAAACTGAGCATCATGGAATGCCAGTTTAATAGAACAAAGTGTTCTTGCATTGAGGGAGTACTCGAGTAGAGGCCCAAAGTCCATCTGCTACCTTAATACTAAACTTATAAATATATGCACCTAAATCTATTTCCCCATCCTCATATATAAATATATTTACATATGTACATGCTCTTTATTTAGACCTCTATAAATGTCCTTTGTCTCCTAGTTCTTTCCTCTATATCCTTTTACTTTCCTCTCGTCCCACTATCATGCTCAGCCTTCATTTGAGTTTCGGTAATTCCTCTCGTTTACATTACTCTTCATCACACCCTACCAGGCCTCCTACACCCTCCTCACCACCGATTTGGACCACTTGTTGTTCCCTTGTCCCGGGGTTTTTTAACACTGCTTCTTTCCCCCCAATTGCCTCCTCTCCCATGTTCCCCGGAACCATCGGTCCCATCACTACAATCGGTTTTAGAACATTTTCTTCTTCCTTGTGCTTAGGATTATTAGCTCCTTATTTTCTTGCACCTCCCTTGCCATACCACAACTCTTTTTAATATATTCAAGCCATTGAATTGTGTGATATGTGAATTATATGTCAATAAGACAGAATAAATAAATTAAAATAAATGGAAAACATAGGCTATAGTGCTCATTGCTACCAATAAGAAGCCACTGAGAAAAAGACATGTTTTTAAAACAAAGTTCACTTTATTACATTATTTTTACACAGTAAAAGAATATGAAACGCAGACGTGTCTAAATTTTCTTGCTGATTCTCTTGAAGACAATGTCACCCAATGTCATGGTCTGAAAGCCAGAAAAAAAATCATAAAATGTTTGTCTGATACTTAATTGTACAAATTAATTAAGGCTACAAAATACCCCCAAATGAAGCAACTCAAAGACTCCTATTTTCTCTAGGCCTAGAGGAAATGGGACTTTTTCTAAAATCCTGTGGCCACCTCACTTTGTCACATCATTCTCTCACATGGAAAATTATTTTGTCTTTTACATTAATTTTCTACATTAATGACTGTTATAGAAAGACCACTGAATCCAATCAATCTAATCCAGCTCAATGACTCTTAAGTTTTCTGTAGCACCTACTATGTACCAAACAAGGAGCCCTGGTGACATACTGGGTTACATGTGGGGCTGATAGCTATCAGGTCAGTGGTTTGAACCCACCAGCTACTCCATGGGTAAAGATAAGGCGGTTTGCTCCCAGAAAGACTTACAGTCTTGGAAACCCAAAGGGGCAGCTCTACTCTGTCCTTTAAGGTCACCATGAGTCAGAATTGACTTGTGAGGACATACCAAACAAGAGCCATGGTGGCAGAGTGATTAAGTGCTCCTTGACTGATAACCAGGAAGTCAGTGGTTCAAACCCAGTAGCTGCTCCACGGGGAGAAGTTTGAACAGTCTGCTTCTGTAAAGATTTAGAGCTTTGACACCCTATGGGCAATTTTCCCGTGTCTCATGGGATCACTATGAGTTGGAATCAATGGGCTTATGTACCAAATAGGTGTGGAGCACCAAGGATACGTGTGTATGGAACTACTTGGGCAGCCAGCCTGGAACGTAGTAAGGACTGCATGACTTTCTCAAAAAGCTGTGAAGCCTATGATACTGGACACATCAGCTCTGGGGTTGTTGAGGGCCATTCCCTCTGCCTTCTGCTGGTTCTCTGGAACTAGACTGCTGCGACGATGGGACATGTTATTGGAGGGAAAGGAGGAGCTCTGTAGCTTCAGCAACATTAGAAAGGAATGGAAAGATCCAAGGGCCAGTTCCGCTTCTACTGCTTACAAGCTTGGTAACCTCAGATGAATCAACCTGTCTATAAAGTTCGTCCTGCAGGCTCCCTCGCAGGGAGATGAGAGTTAAGGAGATGGCGCAGTTGGAAGATCATTGGGCAGGAGTGAGCCCAGGACAAGCTCACCTCCCCATGGCTGGTGGGGCCTCCCGACTCTGCTGTGAAAGCTGAGTTGGTGGTTGGGGACCACATGTGTCACAGCTGATTTTCCCACTCTCTGGAGGTGAGGATGTTTTCCCCACTCAAATAGGATAATGGCAGACCCTCAGGAGCATGCTTGACCTTTGGTCACTTGTTAAAGCATATTGGAGGGGCACAGAAGAGCCAGCAGGAGAAACACTGTGCAGTGCCTCCTGCATCAGGGACAGGGCTGGCAGACAGCTGACCCCAAGGATGGCCAAAAACATGTTGTGCCAGATTCATGAAAAGAAAAAAATTAAGAAGCAAAAATGTGTTGCCTGGAAGTGGATTCAGACTCCTGGTGAGTCCACGTGCACCAAGGAGAACTGCTCTAAGCGGTCAAGGTTATGACCTTTCAGAAAGAGTCACCAGACCCTTTTCTGAGAGGACTGAGGGTGGGTTTGAACCATCAACCTTTTGGTTAGTAGTGGAGCATTTAACTGCTTGCCTCACATCGAGATGCGAAGGCTGCTCATACAATTGCTATGAGCATGATTCTCCTTTTAAATACGGAACGGACATCACCATTTCAGGACTTGGAAAGCAGGTGGAGGCCTTCATGGCTCTTTGGTTCATGCTGGTGAAGTGTTCTGGCTGAAAATTAGGGCAATGTCATAAAATAGGAAAAGCCCACTTCTGGTCAAACAGAACACCCCCTGGAATGTGGCAGCTGTGCCCATGGAAGGAGGCTGCTCCAGGAATCCTGAGGCCCATGGAATGGCTCAGTCACCACCTGCTGAATGGATGGATTGCTGCCCTCAGTCCGTGAACAAGTCTTGTGGCCACATCCCAGTGGACTGTGAGAAGTGGGCTGTGCTGCAACCCTGGGCCTCCTTCCTGCCGAGGACCTCTCTTACTGCATCCTCTTGGGTTTCAGTGCAGAAAGAGAGGGGAAAGCAGGGTATGGGCACTCAGAAGAGAAGGTGGCAGGGGTAGAGGGGACAGCAAGATTGACCTGACTATGGAACCGGTGGCCAGCCTGTAGAAGTGGAGCAGAGGTGTGGGGAAATACCAAATAGGGTGGCTGCTAATGCATTTGGTGGCTTAGAAAAGGGTGCTCTTTCCTCAAGATGCCTCATCTCTCTCTTAGAAAAGTGTCCAAATCACTGCCCTAGTTTTGCTGGAACAGGACGCTGGCATGGACTGTAACATTATAACGAGCCTACAAATCTGAACTGTCAATAGTGTAAAGGGCTCCCCATGGCAGTGTGCAGTACACAACTGCAGAATTCTGGGTCTGCATTCTCTGGCTCCTTGGCATGTTTCCCCATTAATAAAATCTGGAGACGTTGGGAAGGTTGGAGAAAATATGTGTGAACTATCAGGCATCTACGAATCCTCAGGAATGGTAGCAGGTACTGATAATAGAGAAGGTAGAGGGAGATGTCCCCACCCTTCACTTCAAGTCTTGGGAACCACAAGCTCAAGAGTGCCGACTTACGCTGATTACAGTGTCTCCGTTGAACTCCACCACGGACTTAATGCCTTTGAACGTTGTCACCAGTTTATTGTCACCTTCCAAGTGAACCACCGCCTGTAGGAGACAGAGGAGTTGGCCTGTGAAGAGTGTCCTGGGAAGGGAGCAGGGGCTTTAATAATGACTTGGCTTCCCTGACTGTCTGCTTACAACAACCAGGATGTCCATCTGGGCATGGCCCCTGTCCCCTTACAATTCTCTGTTCTCTTGATCTAAGAACTAAAAAGATATTAGGCTATCTTTTATCAGAAGTGTTTACATTTGCAATCCCTTGGGGATCCAATGCATACATACACACACACACACACACACACACACACACACACACACACGTGTGTGTGTGTGTGTGTGTGTGTGTGTGTATATAAGCATTGTTTCCCCAAGGGATTACAAATGTAAACACTGAAATAAAACTAATTACATTCTCAATTCTCCAACCTAATGGAGGGAGGTAGCAGTTAAATTAAAAATTCCAGTGAGAAGAACACATATTTTGCATCGAGACATATTATTTCCTCCTAAACATCAAATGCCCCTGCTTTGGTCTCTTTCCCAAGCCTTACATATCCAGGAAGAGGGTTCCTGGAGGGCAGACACTGTGGCATATAAATCCACCAGCGAGCAGGGCACCCTCACCAAGGATAGCAATTTGCCGCCAAAACGACAAGCAGAAAAGAACCTGGCACAACCCAAGATGACCTGCCTTTTACTGTGACTCCATCGGTCCAAAGGTTTCCCTCCTAATGTCGGTCACAGATAGTTTCACTTGTAACGTTCTATCAGACAACTCTATCTTGGAGGAAGAGGCTCCTTAGAAGCGTAGCTGTCAAGACTTCCTGTCACAAACGTTGTACGTGTTGTCAGGGGAGAGCAGTCCCCGGAAAAGGACATTGTACTTGGTAAAGTCGAGGGCCGGTGAAAAAGAGGAAGACCCTCTCTGAGATGGATGGGCACCGTGGCTGCCACCATGGGCTCAAACCGAAGAACAATTGTGAGGACGATGGCGGACCGGGCAAGTGTTTCACTCTGTTGGACCTGGGTCACTTGGAGCTGGAGCTGACTCAGCGGCCTCTCACTACCGCAGCCACACGGCAGAGATGCTGTATCTGGAGAGGCGGAAGGAGAGCCCAAGGGCCCAAGAGGGGAGATGGGACAAATGTCCTGGGACGATGCAGGAAGCTGTCGGGGGAGGAACGAAGACATGTCCACTGGCATGTGCTGTGTCTCTAAACATGGCCCTGATGACTGGCACTCCCAGTGCCTGGTCCTCCTTGCTGTCACCTGCTGACCACTCACCCAGGCCTCACCCCGCTCTCATGGCACGTCTTGCCCCAGAGCAGAGGAGCTGAGGCCCCCCACTTGCCTTCAATCTGCTAAGGGCGATTAGATTATCCCATTTTACAGAGGAGGCTGCTGAGGCCAGAGGATTTAGCAACCAGCTCCTGGAAGGCTGAGCCCTTGCCTGAAGCTTTGGTCTGTTGGTCTTTCAGCACCCCAGCCAGAAACGCCTCCCCATGGCCACAGCTCCAGGCTCAGTGAAGCCTCGTTTACTGTGATCTCCAGGGTGAGGCCAGGGCTTGGCTCAGGGTCCTTCACTGATTCCCACTCGCCCAGCTGGTGGGGGGCCTGTTGGAAGGCTCTGAGAACAGAAAGAGCTGGAGGTAAGAGAACCTAGAACTTGAGACTGTGTCTCGTCCCCCCCTTTTGTGTGTGTGTTTCTATGGGAGCTCCAGATGGCTGGGCCAGGTGCCCTACCTCCCCCGAGACAGTCCCCAGAAAGACAAGAGTGGTTGTAGAGCATCTCCCCTGAGAATTGCCTTTTGTCTTTGGGCCTCTCACCCCAGAAGTGGATTCAGAGACCAGAGCGTGTGCGGTGGGACTTGGGAGGTATGGGCCTTCAGGAAGGGAGTCCTGGGGCCAGGTCCCAGGGAAAGTTCCGGAAAGCGGAAGGGCAGGTCCTACCTTGACCCTCTCCCCGGTTAAGGTCTCCAGCTCACACTCCTCCCCCAGGGTGAACTCGTTCTGGATGACTTTGGAGCCGGTGGTGATGGTGAGCTTGAAGTGCTTCCCATTCTGCACGATTTCCGACACCCCCTTGATGTCCTTGCCCTTCTGGATGAGGTCGTCCGGCAGACCTGGAGGAAAGGGCTGCAGGTGAGAGAGGGCACTGCTGCGAATTGGGAGGAGGGGGTGACAACAGGAGCTTTGTGTCCTGGGGGAGGGGAGCAAAGGGAGAGAGAGTCCGTGGGGAACACAGACCTTCGTCTCTAAGAAGAAAAGTCAGTGGCCTGGCCTGACCTCCTGCTATCTTTCTAGTTAACTTGTAAGACAGACACTCCTCTGTGGGAAAGAATGATTTTTTTTTTTCTTGCGAGCAGCCTGGTTTCCTCTCATGCTCCCTCCTCATTCTTTCTATCTTTCACGTCATGAGCCTTTGCTCTTTGAGGGTGCATATTTCATCTTTCTTACGCCCCATGAGCATGGAATTCACTTCCCAAACCTGCACCCTGAGTGTGAGAGGGCAGAGGGCATTCATAATGGTGCCAGGGCTACACACACAAGCAGGCTCTGTGCCAGACTAAGAGTTCATTGACTTCTCGCTCACAGCCAGACCTCACCTCAGCCAAACCTCTTGTGGAAGATGGACTAGGATTCCCTGGCCCGAGAATAGCACTCTAGAATTTTCAGAACCTGCGACTGTATGGCTTGACACTCATGAAAAGTGCGTAGGTCAATGGCAGAGGCTGCGAGCCACACATAAGGGATGTAAGACGCAGGGTGGTAGTAGAATTTTCCCAGAAGGGAAAGATCCAAGTTCTCAGCAGCCTCCTCTCTCTGCTTTACTATCTCCCCCAACCTCCTCCTGCAGGGCGCTCTCCCTTGTCACACCCTGCCCCTTTGCTCACAAAGCTCGCTGGACCTCGAGCATACCTCCGGCCTTAGGGTCTGCCTAGTGGTCACCTGTTCCGGTTTCCAGGCTCAACCCAAGGGGTTACCACCACCAAGCCCGGACCAGGCAGGCCTGACCACACTCTCCTGTGAGCACCATATCCTCATGCACTTGGTTCTGGGGGGCACATGGGGTTACGTAGGGTGTTTGAGAATTGGTGCCAGCTTCAAATTCCAAGTCAAACACCTTCTTCCTGAGCGACCTGGGTCAGAACCATGCAGCATTCCTAGGCCTTAGTTCCTTCAACTACAAAATGGGAAAATGATAGCACCCAACTCAGAGACTTTGGCTGAAGATTTCGAATACCAAATGCTAAGCATAACGCCCAACGCAGAGTCAGCACCTAGTATAAGGTAGGAGACATTTAACTGCACTTTTAACTCTATCTCTCATTAAATTGTGGCCTCCTTGGAAATTTGGCTGATCTCTTTCTATCTCCTTGGTACCTCCCCACACACGGCACCCAGCTGGGTTGGGCCTTCAATCAACGTTGTTAGAAGAAGGAGGAGATAAACGAATGAATGACCAAATGACCAAATGGGCCATCCATTGAGGTAGCCAAGAGATGGGATTTCAATCCATATCAGACCCCTACTTCAGTGCCCTGTCACTTGCCTCCAGAGTCACCTTATTCAGTGAGTACTAGCACAAGCTACAAGTAACCACAAGAGTTAGTCCATTGTCCCCTGAACTAGGGGTAGCCTGAATGTCAACATCACCTGTGGGTCAGACCCTTATTCAGGGACTCACAGCCTTGACACCCAGTCCACTACTCACCAGCAGCCTTCATGAAGGCCTCAAAGTTCTCCTGGGTCTGCACTTGGTACTTGCCAGAGAAGTTCATGGTGGCGATGCGGTTGCTCCCTCTCCACAGTCGACTTGAAGCACTGCTGGTCGGGCTCCCCTGTGTGGGCTGTTTTATAGGGAACTACTTCCCCTTCCAATATCGGCCACAGGTCACCTACTGTCGACTCCTTTATGACCAGGCTCAAAGATTAACTCCTGAGAGCAATGGTCAATGATAGTAAACAGGCTGGTCACAGCAGACGTTTGCTCAAATTCAGCAAACATTAATGAGTGTCAATCAAGTACAAAGCCCCGTGGCTGTGCTGCTTCTACTGTGACCACCACTCTGCAGCACCAGACCTCTGGGGAGTGTTGAAAAGCACGGCTGCTAAGGTATTTTCCATGGCCTCATCTGCCTGGGGAAGTCGGACGCGGCCTAAGGAAGAGCAAAGACTAATGGAGGCCTCTGCGTGGTGGCGCTGACGAGGAATATTGCAAGTACCATCGACTGCCTAAAGGACAATCAGATCTGTCTTGGAAGATGTCCGGTCAAATGCTGCCTAGAGGCCGGGAGGGTGAGACTTGATCTCCAGGAGATGTCAGCCCCTGGAGAAGGATATCATGCTTGGTGAAGGAGAGGGGCAGTGAAAAAGAGGAAGGCCCAGGACAAGATGGATTGATAGAATGGCTGTCACAATGGGCTCGAATATAAGAAAAATCAGGAGGATGCCGCAGGCCAGGGGGGTATTTCATCCTGTTGTTATACATGACATCTCTGTGAGCCAGAACCGAATCAACCGTACCCGACAACCACAACGACTTGCGAGATGGATGTGTGTGCCAGCACGCATGTCTATACATGCAGGTCTGCATGCGTGCACACGTACACACACACACACACACACACACACACACACACACACACAGAAGGATACCAAATAATCCCTTAATCTCAGAACCTCACCTTATTTTTACGACCTTATGATGTCATCCCTTCTTTATTTTAATACAAATTTAAATCTTGCAGCTTTGCCATCAGCTCTGAGTGTTATTTTCCATTCTGAGAATTCCTCTTTGATGATTATAAGCTCTCCTGCAGGCCACCTATGTCTCCCTTTTAAAGCATTAGAGTGGTAAACACTCAAAAACAAGTGTGACCCATTTAAACCATGTGCGTGGAAATAGAGGTGTATGAGACAGCGTCCAAAAGTTCACGGGGAAAATCCCATTGTCTTTCCATTCCGTTTTCCCAAGAAGCCCCTTTATATTATGGGGCAGAACCAAGAGAGGGAAGGAAAGAAGACGCCTTCTGGACAAAGGGATAGGGGTATGGGGTTTGTATCTGGGGAGCTTGGCTTTGTAGGGCCCTGTGGACACCCCTCTGCTAGACAGGCGCTGGTCTTGGGGAGATGGCAGAGCAGTGCTCTTGAGCTGGAGGTCCACAGAGTGGAAAATGGTAACCAGTTTCCCCAGGTCTCCCACTTCCTGCCTTTCAAACAGCTCACGCTCCTGGCACTGTTTTCCACGCTTCCCTAGCTGCATCAGCCTCTTCCCTTGCAGCCTTCAACCCACAGCCCCTCTCTGCTCCGCGGCTGGAGAGCCTGTCAAACATTGTTGGAGAAATCTCATCCTCGAGATGTAAGTCTCCAGTGGTCCCCATTGCTCCAGCGCCCACAGGTTCTGTTGGTCTTCCAGAACTTTGGACTATTTGATCTGGCTCTGGTTACTATCCTCCAAGAACACTTGGGGTCCTCGGGAAGCAAAGGACTAGAAGACTAACGGAAAAGTAACGATCTACTTCTACATCTCACGGTCTTGAAAATGCTGTGGAGCATTTCTGCTCTGCACCCGTCGTGCTGCCTTGAGTTGGAATCCACGCGACGGCGATCAACACCGACCGTGCACACTTGTGCTTCTCCCATCACTAGCTCCGGCTTTTGGCCTGGGGAAATTTAATGGCCAGATCCATTGCTTTAGATCCTAGCAGGGCTCCCAACCCTGCAAAAAGTCATGCCTTAGCTCTGTCTACCTCTCCATCCTCATTCCTTTGCCTTCCTCCTCCCCCAGCCCATAGCCCCAGCACCAGGGCCCACGTAACACATCCGGGGCCTCCGCATCTTCTTGGTTGTGTACATTCCCTTCCATCGGGCCTGTTCTATCGTCTTTGCCTGGATGATGTCATCTCCCCAACGGAAACCTCTGCTCACTCCCTCAGAGAGCGCTAACCACCCTTCTGGCCTTGGAGAGAGAGCACCTTGCAAACATCTGTATTTCAACTCCCATGGGGATCACTCCTCTAGGCGTTCTCTGTGCTCCGACCTTGGTATTTCCAATATCTGACACCTGGCAGGTACCCAATAAATGATGGTTCAGCAATTAAAAACCATCGAACAGTAATAATAGATAACTGCTATCAAGTGAACTTTGACTCATGGTGAGCTTGCCACTGACAGAATGAAACGTTGCCTGGTCCCAGGTTGTCCCAGGAGGGCCGGCATGCTCTAGTCTGTGGTTGCTACTGCTTTGCCAATTCAAAGGGGCTCCTTTGCTCTCCCTGCCCACCCCCCTACCCATCCTGAGTCACCAAGCAGGGCTTGCTTCTTGCAGCAATTGATCTTTCCTGATGACGTGTTCAAAGCAAGTGTGTTAAGCAATACTCTCTATGATCTATCAGACTTGCATAGGTGAATTTTCAGAGGTAAATCACCACGTCTTTCATCCCACTCTGTGTAGCCTGGAAACTCCCCTGACACATGTTCACGGTGGGTGGCCCTGCTGGCATTTGAGAGAGTGGTGGCATAGCTTCCAGCATCACAGCACCTTGTTAAAGGGAATAAGAGGGAGGAGTCATCACATGGGCACTGAATCCTAAAGCACGTGCGTGCGTTTGCATTGACATGTGAATCTATGTCATGGGCCCAGCTTTGCTGAGCGCCCAGTGTGAGAGGAGTGGGAGTCCCCAGTCCTGAGAGGCAGCCACTCTGCTTCCATCATTCTCATCCCTCCTCTCATCCACTCTTCCATTTCAGCCTGCCCCCAGGGAGATGGTGGAGGGTTGGGAACAGCAGGCTCTGTTTCCTGGAAAGCTCCCTCTCCTGCTTGGAGCGCCTGTCTCTTCCTACATGCAGCACAATTGCCAGGATGACTACATGCTCCCCTTGATCTTCTGCCAAACCGGCAGCCCTGCCATCCTCTTCCCCAGGAAACTCTAAACTGAGTTTGGAGGTCCTCTGACCTGGGAGCCTAGCAGTCCGCAGGTCAAGTGGCACATCAGGTGGAGTTGAGGGCGTATGCCAGGGCCCTAGGTGCCACAGGAAGAAATGAACGAGGAGCCCTGGACTCATGCAGACATGTTGGACACAGCCCTAAGGCACTCTGGTCCTCCAAACCCCACTCCAGCATCTCTGGGTTGGGGATGTGTTGATACCTTCAAAGCACCTTAGACGTCTTCCTATCTACTCGTGTGTCCAAGGGCAGAAGCGCTTCTCCAGGAACCCCCACAGGTGGTATGAGAATACACCCTGCAATGGCGAGATCACTACCACCTGAGCAGTGCGGGCAGCGAGTACTCACTGAGTGCGGGCAGCCAGGCAGACTCTGGCCCCAATAACCCCGGGCCTCCAGCACACGTGGCGCTCTGCCCTCCCTTCCTGCTTGGCTTGCCTGGAATGCAAAGGGCTACCCAGGCCGCGGATCTGGGATATCTTGGAGAAAGTTGGGAAACTAAAGCCATTTGGAGCCACCTTTTGAAAGATGGCGCTGGTGAAGAATATTGAAAGGACCATGGACAGCAAAAAGAACAGACAGATCTGTCTTGGAAGAAGTACAGCCAGAAGGCTCCTTAAAGGCAAGGCTGGTGAGACTTCATCTCCCGTATTTCGGACACGTGGTCAGGAGAGACCAGTCCTTGGAGAAGGCTGTCATGCTGGTAAAGTAGAGGGCAGCGAACAGGAGAACGACCCTCAACAAGATGGATGGACACAGCGGCTGCACCAATGGGCTCAGGCGTAGGAACAAGGGGAGGACGGCGCAGCGCCAGAGTGTTTTGCTCTGTTGTCCACGGGGCGCTAGAGTCGGGACCCACTCGACGGCATGTGACCACAGCCACAGAAGGGCCTCGCCCTGGGACAGACACGGGTGGAGGGCCTCAGCGGGTGACGAAGTATACATTCACAGCCCTCTCTCGTGCCTGGAGTCGGCATTGTGTCTCTTTCCAGGTGTCTCATTGCGTTAAAGAGGTCCCACGGGATCCTGACCTCCACCGGGGGAGATGGTGAGTTTTCAGTTTTGTGCGTGTGAGGACATGAGAGAGGAAGAGGAGGCTGCTCAATCCAGAGAAGATTTAGTCTTGGGAACCTTAGGGAGCAGTTGGGTCTCAGTATGAGTCAGAATGGACCCAACAGCAGGGTAAGGCGACAAAAAAGCTATTGTCTTTTAACAATGGGCACCTCTGAGATGGTGTGTGTGTGTGTGTGTGTGTGTGTGTGTGAGAGAGAGAGAGAGAGAGAGAGAGAGAATAAGTGCTTGGGAGAGAGGGTGAGATGCAAGATCTGTATCCATAAGAGCCAAGCTGGCTAAGGGAAGGTCACTCCGTGGTGCAGGAGAAGAAAGTGTGTGTGTGTGTGTGTGTGTGTGTGTGTGTGTGTGTCTCACAGGCAGTGAGGAGACAGCCAGCCAAAGGGGGTGGGGTCGCTAAGGCACCCCCCATGGCAGTGAGGCAGGGAGGGCTCTTGGAAGGCTGATACTGACTTTGGAGCTCTTATTCACAGCACAGTGAAGCCCATTCACATCTCAGTCATTCCCTCCCCAAGTGCTTCAAAAGCTTCAGTCAAATACGGCCCAGGAATCCACACGTGCCACCTGGGAAACAACAAAGGGCTGCGTTTCACCTCAGGATGTGTGTGCTGTGGCTGAGTCAGGAAACAGATTGTCGGGGGTGGTCCCCCCCACTCCCAGGGGTTCCCACAACTCCCCAGTGGGGCTTTGGAGGCATTCAAGTGGATTCGTCTAGAACCAAGATGGCAGGTGGGCGATGTATACCTCCTGCAGCCAAGGCTGCAGTTAGGCAGGAGTTAGTTAGGCTGTGTAATGACCATGCAATTGTTG